TCGGAACTGTTGGTAAGTTTCGATGTACAATCCATGTACACAAACATCTCAGGCGAGAAGGCGGTAAGCATCTTGTTGGAGATTTTGGAGCGGAAAGAGGACATTCTGGAGGCAGAAGGGATATGGAAAAAATCGTTAACACGAGTGATCAACCTGATATTTTACGTTTAATGGCAGTATCTACGAGCACATATTTGGAATAACGAGAGGAACTCCACTCTTACCTCTTTTGGCAAATGTGTACATAGACAAGTTGGAAAGGAAATTGGTGAAGTCACCACTGCAACCAAGAGTGCGTATGCGATATTTGGATGACTACTTTGCACTTTGGTCACATGGTAAGGAAAATCTAAATGAAGGTATGAAGACCAAGATGGTGTGGCTTTTTGTTTGTTCGCAGTCTCCTTTCGTTGTATAGAGGTTGTTTGACCTTGCTTTCGCAACATGGTCATATTGGTAGGAATACTTAGAGGAACGCACCTAGTCCGGAGTCCATTGTCTGCATGATCATTTCCAAAGTTGAACAGTACATTCCCATGGGAATGTACCATGTCCACGGCTCAACTTTGGAAATGATCATGCAGACAATGGACTCCGGACTAGGTGCGTTCCTTAAGTCTTCCTACCAATATGACCATGTTGCGAATACAAGGTCAAACAACCTCTAAAATCTAAATGAATTCCTCAATTTTATTAACCAACTTGATGAAAGAATTACATTCACAATAGAGGTGGAGGAGGATGAGCGGCTACCCTTTCTGGATATTGAAGTCATACGCTACAAGGGGACACTCATGAGGAGACTATACACAAAGAATTCGCATGCGGGAATAATCCTTAATTTTCAGTCTCATCATAACTACAGACTGAAGATTGGAATACTGAGGAGTTTGATCATCAGAAGCTTACGAATAACGGACAATGAGTTCTGGGATGAGGAGTGAAACAAACTGACAAGGATTTGCCTTAGAAACGGATATCCCAGAGCATTTATAGAAAATAATTTAGAGGTGATAAAGGGCCAATTTCGACTTA